ACAATGTAAAACCAAATTAATACAAAGATAAAGCTCTGAAAAATAGACACTGGAGCTTATAGTGCTGTTTTTCAATTTTTATGTGGTAAAATCTTGGGCTATTTTCTGTTATGTTTTTAGAACTGAGTTCAAAAAAGAACTATTAAAATCCTGGACTACACCTTATCTTTATTGCAAAATATACTCTATTTTGAGCCAGACTTTAAGATAACTGCTTAGTTTAAAACCTTTTAAACTTGTTTGCTACAGAGTATATTTGTGTATCAATGAAGAGAGCTCTTGCACTAATGTACACGTAATCAACTATGACAGCTATGACAGTCCACCATGTTGTACCACAGAACCCAAAATTTTAACAATTTATTTGGCAACTTTAATTCTCGCAAATTTATGTCGCATGCCATTTTGTACTAAAGAGGTGCATGCATCTAGTGTGATTAAAAATTGTTAAGTTGTGTTAGAATCAAGCAGCTGCTTGCAAAAATTTGACTAAGCTTTTGTTAATTTGTACCGTAATAATTTGATTTTTGTGAAAGAAATTTTCACAAACCTTCAAAAAATTATAAAATTTGAAGCTCTAAAAAATGTTGCGCTGTACGGTACATTGTGGAATGGGGAGAATGGATAAGAAAATCTGAATAAATCTGCAGTTGACATTCCAGGCTAATGCAAGGTAGGAGATGAAGGTATTGAGTGACAAACTCTTATATTATTCTACAACCAAGTATATCTTATCGATGGAAAATCACAGTTTGTTTCTGTATCTACATTCGTTCTGTGTACATTCTTGCCACCCAACATGGCATTGGCAGACAGTCATAGCCACACCTCATTGATTACATCCATGCAAGACCTCTAAGAGCTGTTGTCATTTTTGTACATCAAGATGGTTGACTGAAACCAATGGAACCCCACGTATTGCAGAAGGTTTATACACAACTATACATGTAAACTTGCAATTACAACAATCTACCCACTATAGTCTCGGGGCCAGAGCCTTCCTAATAAAGGAGCTGGCCCCAAGACTATACCCACAAAACAATACAAACAATTTTTATCTACTTTGAGCTAGTCTACTTACCAATACTTTAAGGTCAGTCTCAGCCTTAAAACCCCCAGAGCCAGGAGAGCTAGACTCAGTGCCTTGACTACCTTCCAGACTAGTGCTTTCAACGGGAATTGACATTTCATTTACAAAATCTCCAAAATTGTAGTTACACCCACTGGTAGATGCATTAATTAGAAATCCTACATTGAAATTTTTTCCCCGAACTACACTTTAAAATTTTAAATGAAATCAAAAAATTAACATTTTTATAAAATTTTATACATTTTTGCAAAACAATTCGTTTTTTTCACAAAAACCACCATAATACAATACTTTAAATAATTCTTTTTTAATGAATAGTATATACACACATTACAAGACTTATCATCCCTGATACAGTTCATACAAACCATTTCCCAAAATCAATGAATCGAGTCTGATTTACAGTATTGATACAGCCCCAAAAGGCATCATTGTTGAATCATGCCTGTTGATCTGGTTGAACCAGTATCATACTCTAACGTGGTCCTTGTATTGTGTATATTGTGGCTGATCATCATGGTCTATCATGTACTAGGCTGTAGTTCCAGGATTGAATTCAGGGCAAATTCTTGTTGCCAGTGAATCAAAAATTCCTAGCCCTAAAATTAAAATATA